GTCATGTTCCAAACAGTAATTGAACATGCTGTTAGTCCTGCCACGAAATTAGTGAGGGAAACAGAATAAGGGATGGAAGGCAGGAGAGACAAATCCTGGACACTGGTGGGAAGAAATATCATTTGCATAAACTAACAGTGGGAGTGCTTCTAGTGGGGAAGCACTTTTCTGTCAAGTGTACCCTGCTGTGGTCCACACACTTGTTCTCCTAGGAATAAGAGTATAAGAAAAAACAAGGGGTGGAGGCAGATATGTGCACTGCTGACCAGAGAACTCTAAACCTAGATCTTGCTGATTCCAACCTAGAACTTGGTTGGAATTCTCGGTGCATAATCTAGTCATCTAGGATACAAATTATAAAAACTCTTATGCAGTTCAGTGTCTCTATTCTACTTCTAAAAGACTTTAGTCCACTGTAAAGATATTCCAGATTTGAGTGGCAGGGTTCTGACAGTTACCAGTGGCAGGTATTACAAGTGCTTTTACAATCCGCGCCTCAGTGTACTTTAGTTCCTTCCACAAAACTAGAACTACATTGAAACAAATGGTCATACTTGCATTCACCATAGTCTTGTGATGTCACTGCTCTTGACTGTAGTTCACGCCTGTTATTTGGAAATGGAAATCGCAAAGCCATTTGCACAGTCTCAAAATATGCCTGTGGTTCTGATGCACCACTGTAACCTAAAGGAAATTGCACCCCATGGAATCTGACCGACCTTTTGCAACCCATGAGGTGTTAACGCAAGACCTGGCAGGTATCCAGAGAACTTTTCCTGACTGGTTCTGCTGATTCTTGGCACAAATGTCCCAGAAGATGGTGATGGTCAACTATTTGTCTTCTACCCGGAATGTTGCCTGTGGGATCACTAAGAGTTCTGTTGTTTTCTCCCACTTGACAACATGTATATGAGGTTGCAGGACAAGAATATATAGAAACATCAAGACTGAAACCTCAATACACTAAGGATACCCAGCTCTATCTCTCTTTCTCAGATGGTATCAGCACATTCACAGCTGATGAAGCCAAATTTAACTGTATGAAGATGAGAAGTAATGTTGGTAAGGAAACCTGGAAACTAGGAGAGAAATGGGGAATTGCAACTCCCACCAGAGATGAAGTCTAGTTCCTTCTGGTTACAGAGTCTCATAGATTTCAGATGCTTCTAAGCTGATTGCTTGAGACAAGATGGCCAAGTTGTGGTGGTGACCAGGAATGCTTTCAGGACTGTTTAAATGGTACTGAGTGGAAGGGGAAAAGTCCTCTCCCATTATCTCCCAAAACAAGTTTTCTATGGGTTTCAGCTGGAATCATGGACAGAAAGGCTCCTTGGGCACAAATCTGTTGCAAGGTTACTGAAATATATTTTGGGTAAGCTTGTCCTAGGAATAATTCAGAGTCAGTAAGTTCTATACTTTCCATATGCAAAACAGGATCCATGCTATACCCAAAGGACTCAACATACATTCGCCACTGTAGTTTTCACAGCAGACAAGATCTTGGAGGGGTAGCATCTCGTACTGTGGCTGCCAGTAACCTGCTTGAACTCTGAGAATTACGTGTCTCCAATTGAGCATGGGAGCAAGGATTGCCTCTGCACTTCTCTTGCCCCGTAAATGACAAAGATGTTTGTTCAGGAAGGAGGAAGAGCTGAGACTTTGCCAGGATTACTCATTTCCTGATGAAGCCTCACTCCACTATGTCCCACCCTCTGCAGTACTCTGCTGGCACTGGCTCAAAAGTTGTATTTGTGACTACAGAGTTGCAACCAGCATGGAAAGACTTTAAAACCAGCTGTAAGGGCGGATGGAAGATGCTCCATCATCAGAGTGCCAGCTCTAACCTTGGAATGCATTTCCAAGGTTGGAGCTAAGACTCTGACTTATCCTATGACTGTCTGGAAAGCATTTGGCAGCCACAGGATTACACTGTATGGATTGCACCAAATTAACTGTATTTTATAATCTGACAGTTCCGCAATGAGATATTATTCAGCCATTGTGAAAAATTATTATGGGGTGGGAACCTGTCTTCTGAATTCACAACAAGTTTGCTCAATCCAGACATTTATGATGGAAGCCTCAGCCAACCTGTCCCCGATGCAGCCTCACTTCCCTTAAATAATATAAATGGATATAATAATATAATATATAAAATACCTGTTAGGAAAGATCTTCCAAACATACTTTCCCCAAAAGTTAAATACAAACCCATTCTGGAAAGCAGTTTGGTGCTACAACTACTCAGAACTATCCAAAGACTTTCCAGAAGCAGCTTAGAGACTCCTCAGTTGCAAACTGGGGGAGAGGGGAGATTACACACATATTCAAGTTGATGACTTCACTTACTTATTATAATTGCATAAGTCCTTGTATAAGATGAGACTTTTGGACCCCATATCTTAAGATATGAAAATGAATGCCACATTAGACAAAGAAGCTGCTAGGTGGTCACTCTTCATTTTTCTAGTGCTAATGTATTTCTTCAGTAATTGGATTTTGGACCAGCCACGATGCCGTGTTAACAGTATGAATGGAGAATTCACAAGAATGGGGGGTATACCTTGCCAGCTCCTTTTTCTGTCTGGACTGAGCCAGGAGATACAATGCTGGCTCGACTCCATCTTTCTACTCAGTCAGTGCCAGCAAGTGATTGTGTTAGTACATTCACTTCTGCTGTTATTTGACATTGCTGGGGGTGGGGGTAATGAGACATACAGTTGTTCCTTTGTGGTACATTAAATGGCAAACACTGGGGCAACTTTCTGTTGTTCTAACAGTACACTGCATTTTAATAAATATCTTATTTTTATTGGATCAAGGCATTTTCTTCCAGTATTGTTACCCACAATGAGCCATTTAATTTTCTTTTGATCTTCCCACTCCTGGAGCACAGAATGAGATGAGCAGCGTCAGCTGACTGATTTGTCATTATTTTGCCTCAGTTTATATGCTTGTAAGAGCTCAATGAGGCTTTTCCTTAGCTTAGGAAGGCTCACTATGACAAAACTTGAGATTTCCTGCAATGTATGCACAGAGAGGGATTCAAGAGAATGCTAGATTTAAACATTAGCTTCTAAATTTCTAGTTGGGAGAAAGCTTAATAATATAAGCTGCCAAAAGACTTTAAAAAGTAGCAGGGTGCCTGGAATACAAGATTCCATATAAACACTAGGTCTGCTTGGCAGTATTTTACAGCCTGCAAATTTAAGGAAAATTGTGCTTTGATATCTATAAGGCATATTAGAGAGCCCAATGTGAGTGTCATGAAGTGTTATAATCTATGACTGGATGGATGCACATGGAAATCCATTATATCATAAAAACCAGTCTTAAAGAGGACAGTGCTTTGATTACAATGCTGGTTTCTAGGTTGTGGCTAAGAATGTAGCAACAGCTGGTATAGAAATACTAGGAGTGAGTTGGAAGATAGGTCAAAGGCCAATGTAACCTTAAAACAACACTAGAGTTTTCTTTGTAGAGAGCTTTTCTTTTAAGGCATTCAAAGTCCTGAAGAACAACTTTTTCCTTCAGCAGCTGTATCTCCTACACATACAGAATTTTCTATGGATCTGTGCCATTTTTACCCAGAGAAGGAATACCCCAGTCTTATCTTGGATGGTGAAGACAGGCAACCCATCCTAAGACCTGGACAAAGTACCATGTATACTAATGCCTGTAAGAATGAGTTCTGCTATATACTCTTCTGGAGAGGCAGATATAAACACATTCAGCAACACATAAGTATGGATCAAAATAAGTGAATACACAATTTCACCTCACTCTGCTCTGGACAAGCATAAACATTTCAGTTTATTTGAAAACACTGTGCAAATCTTGCACAGCTTTACCCTTGAACATGGTACAGCCGCACTGCACCCAAAGTATTCTCCATCAGGGTTTACCCCTTGTCCATTTATTCCCATGACTATTATCTCCTTCTTGCTTCCCATATCGAACTTTTCCTTTCTGCTTCTCTGCATTTTCCTCTCCCAAAGAGCTATACTGGGCAATTGGTTTTGCCTGTTCCATCTCCTGAGTTGTTTATGCGGTGCCAGCTCTGTCTCCCTCTCCTCTGGCTTCCATAGCTTCACAATTGGTTCTGCCAGTGTTTGTGTGTGTGTGCATAGCTAATAAAAGAGAAATTTACAGGAATCCAAGAATGCTGGCAGCGTGGCACTTCAGAGAGCGGGACTCTAATAAATCTTCTTTTACTCTTTTGCATGCATCAGCACAGCCTGCACTAGGCACAGCAGGGGAAAAGCAAGAGGAAAGAAAGTAGAAGCAGCTCTGTCATGATAATTTGTTATTGTGAGTGACTTCACTAACATCGACCATTCCTAAAGATGATGTCAAAGCACTTCCTGGCCTCACCTACAAAGTCAGCCCTACTATAAAAATAGTCACAAAGGAAACAGCAGAGAATAACTTTAATGAGAGCAGGCATCTTTCTACCCTACCCTAACAACGTGCTTTTAGTTTACCCAGAATAAACCCCCAAATGTGTGTTGAGATGCTTCCATTAAACTAAGAAGGGACCAGTGATCTCCATGGGTATTTCTTCTCTGACTTCTCTGCTGAGCTTCTCAAGTGTTATTAGCAACCAAGGAAATGGATTTGTTCTGAAGGATACTTTCACCACTGACTAATGGCTATTAATCTACCAAAGACAGTATAGTACCCTTTTGCTCACACACAAGAAGAAAAACCAGGTGGGGATCTTCACCATCCTTGTGCTGAGCCTTCCAAAGCTCCCCACTGCCTCCACAGCTGAGGCTCCTCTCATAACTCTCACGATAGGGAAAAATGAGGAGCTCCATGGAAAACAATAATAATGAAAATGTCCAAACAGGTAACGATCAAACAGGAGTACTGCCATGTTTAAGTGATTTTTCAGGAAAATCTGATAAGGTAAATGCAGCAAACGTTTACTGTCACCACAGCCAAGTTCGTTTTGGAAGAAAAGCAGAGGATTTCACTAATCCAGAACTTTAACTCACCCTTTCAAGGTCCTGCCTGAGATGTGTGAAGAGTTTCAAGCGTCGGTAGAGCACATCCTGCTCTTGTTGAGCCAAGTTGTCCACCTCATCTGTTTTGGGTATCATCAGAGGCTTGTTGTAATTGGCTTTCCTCTTCATCTTCCAGTACTGATAGACAAAATCAACTAGCCACTCAGTCAAGTCAAGGTTCTCAGCCACCTCAGAGGGCTTCACAAGATCATAGAAGTCTTCTTCCAATTGCTGGAGCTTCTGCTTCCTCAGTGTTACTTTTTCCATGTCAAGCTTGCCTTGGTCTGCATCCACCCTAGCTTCATCTGGGGGTTTGGTGGCTCCACTGCTGTGCTCAAGACAGAATGACTTGAATTTTACTTCATCGTTCTCTGCTAAAAGTGTCCGCATGTCCAGATTGTGTTCAAAGGCGCATGTTACATGGAAAGCTGTTATGCAGGAAGGCATGGAACACTGCAGGGGGGGTAGAAAAACAAAGTCATGGTACATAAAACTTTGCCAGTTATGAGCACTTCATCACAATACAATTTTCCTACTGTAATTAAAGTCAGTGGCAGGATTACTGGGGAAGGAGTGGCAGAGGTGGGTGTGGAACCACTGAAAAGCAATGCCTCCAACTCCTAGCCTAACCAGCCTATCTGGAAAGATACCATGGCAAATGGTATCGAAAACCACTGAGAGGTCCAGGAGAACCAACAGGGTCACACTCCCGCTGTCTCTCATTTGGCAAAGGTTATCACACAGGGAGACCAAGGCAGACTCTGCTCCAAATTCAGGCCTGAAGCCAACTGAAATGATCAAGACAGTCTGTTTCATCCAAGAGTGCCTGGAGCTATTTAGCTACCATTTGCTCAAATACCATGCCCAAAAAGGGGATGTTGGCCACCGGCCTATAGTTGTTAATGTCTTCTGGGTCCACATTGGTCTTTTTCCAGAGTGGTCCAATTACAGTTTCTTTTAACAAGGCTGGGATCCCTCCCTGTTTCAGAGAAGCATTCATGGCTTCTGGACCCAGATGTCCAGAAGATTACCCCTCACTTGAGTAATAAACCAAGATGAACAAGGATCGAGCATAAAGCTGAAATGATGAACTAAACCAAGCACCTTGTCCACATCCTTAGGCCTCTACAACAAATTCATCCAACAAGCTTGCACCAGATGGTGCTCTGGATCCCTGTGTTGATGGAATTGTATTAAAGTAAATGCAATTCCAACTGTGATGAATCTGAGTGACTTTGCCCTCAAAGTGCTGTGCAAAATGCTTTTGTATAATGAGACAAAGTGTTCTGAAATATTCAATATATTTCTAGTGATACACCCACAACGCTTGACCTAGACAAAGAAGTACTGAAAGCCCTATCTAGAAAGAGGTGGCTAATCTTGCTAGGCAGGTTGCATTGACTTGGAGTGAAACAGGCTGTTGTTTGCACCATCTTTTCTAAACTTGCCCAGAAATGCACTGGAGAGAGAAACTGCACATTGACAAACTGGATCTAACAGGAAGTACAGAGAATGTAAATTCTCTAGTATCTCTCAAAGCTACGGAAGTGCATTGCCATCATGTGAAGAAACGAATTAAACAAGTAACAATGAAGGAATTTTACTTTTCCTCTACATCTTGGTCCCTGAGGACCAGTTCTTCAGACCTTACACCAGGCCATGTTCTTCATTTTGTTTACCATGGGCACTTTAGCCACTAAGCTGGTCAAAAGGTCAATTAGTTATGATGTAATGCTTATCTGCATGGGGTAACATGATCTAGTGTACCCGTTTTTAATGCTGCAGAATCCTTTTATCAGTGTGACTCACTGAAGTGAAATGAAATAAACTGGTGGGAAAAAGGGTTTTACTTATACCATTTGAGTATCTGAAGCCTGCAGCTGCCACTAACTTTATCATCTTGCCAGCCATTTTTTTCACCTGGCCTGTCCTTTCCTACCATCTTGTCAGTCTTTCTCTCCCGACCTACATTGTTGCTGACTTCCTTGGGGCTCTGCCTGGGAGAATTTCCAGTGCCATGAAAAAGAGGGATGGAGTCGCAAGCCCCATAAAAGAGCAGGTACATAATCTGGGAATGCTCTTTGAAGTATCTGTGTCACTTGAGGCCTAGGTGGCCTCAACCGCATGAAATGCCTTCTACCAGGTTTGGCTGGTGGTTTAGCTATGTCCTTATCTGGACAGGGATAGCCTGGTTTCAGTAATCTACACTCTAGTAATCTATAAACTGGATTACTGCAACACACTTTACATGGGGGTGTCTTGAGGGCAGCTGCAGATTTTGCAAAACATGGCTGCCGAATTAATAAAAGGGATCAGAAGGCCCAATCATGTAACACCAATTCTAGCCTGCTTGAATTAGTTGCTTATGTGCTTTCAACCCCAAGTCAAGGCACTAGATTTAACCTATAAAGTTCTACACAGCTTGGAACCACAAAATGGATGAAAACCATCACCCAAGCACCATCTACCAGGACACCATGATCAAGATTTGGGGCCTGCCTCTGACTGCCACCTCTGAGGGAGATTCAGGTGGCAACAAAAAGAAGGGCACTCTCAGTGCTCCCCCCCCCCCATTTATGGAACAAGCTCCCCACTCCGGCTTGCCTGGCACCAACTCTAATTACCTTTTCAATGCCAGGTTAAAATTTTTGTCCATGACACAGAATTCAATTAATTTTAGTATTATACTGGGGCATTGTGTTAACTGCTTTACAGGCCCTCATTTGTATAAGCTATTTTGGCTTTTTACATTTGATTTTAAATTTTGTCTTTATAGTATGTATTATAGTTTTATTGCATTTTTATTGTTCATTGTATTTAAAATTGTATTTTATATGGCATTGTAAACTACACAGAGTTATAGTGATGATGATGATGATGATTTTGCTTTGGTGTGGGCCTAAGAACTGAGAAGAAATTACTGAACATAAGACAAGCAATGTAAGATCAGACCAAGGTCCACCTAGTCCAGCATTCTGTTCACACAGTGGCCAACCAGAGGCCTGTGCAAACTCTGTTCACACAAGAAGAGTATGAGTGCAGTTACACCCTCCTACTCATGTTCCCCAGCCACTGGCAGGCAGAGGCATGCCTGGATTGCTGGTGGTGAATATCCAGGGGGAAAGTCTTCAAATTCGTCACCTAGCATCACAGCAGATAAATGTTTTTTACATGGAGAGTAATCTGCTGTCAGAAGACAAAAGGTTCAGCCTTTGGAAGAAAGCTAAGCAGCAAAAAGGAAGGGCAGTATTTGAAAAGAGCATGATTTGGAGGATTTCTGAGAAATGAAAAGTTGTGTCTTGCTCTTCAGCGTGTTGTTAGTAACCAAGTTATTTTTCAAAAGTCTCTCCCCATACCTTGCTGAATTACCCCGATTGAGATTTGACTTTTGCCTATGAAACAGGATAACACAGTATTGACTTTCAAGGGTAAGTCTGCTTTTCTGAAACATTTAAATTCTTGTGTGGGGTGGAGGTGGGGGAAATCCTATATCTTCGTTATATCCTATTCTTTTTATCTTCAAACTACTTTGGTTAATTTGCTTTTTGCTCTGAAGACTGGGTCATAATTTTATGAATAAACATTGGGCCCTTGGTAGCACTGGACCTTTTCTTGTACTTTCCTTTGATGCACTATATTCTTTAATAAGCATTATTAAAAAAATAATAAAGTGGATCCCAGCTTCTGATCAATCAGTGTCATAAAAATTAACTTACTGAAGCTCACTGCAGTGGCTAAATAACAGTCAACAGTTACTTTAAAGAAAAAAAAAATTAAACAATTTTATTAAAGCCCTTCCTGCTTTATTTGTTCTGTCAGGCTGGTCTCCCCCAGGCAGCAGGATCTAAAGCACCACTTCCCACCGAAGAGAGCACATTTCCTAGCTGGCTGTACGTAACCCTGCTGTCCCCTCATGGATTTCCCCACTCTTCATTAACTGTTTTTAATGGCTCTGAGTGTCAGGTAATTATTTAAGCCATAACCCATAAGAAATCAGTCTATTCCAGCTGCTAATGACCAGTTAAACTGCAATAAGGAGCTATTCTGAAGGGCTTATTGCTGTAGGCACCACACTGAGCCGTTTACATAACATGGATCTTGTGGTTAAGACAAACTGTAGCCCCAGCTTGAGCGACCACATTAACGCAAAGGGAGATTTCCTGAAGGATATTGAGAAGTGATCTGGGATATTGCACATCTCAATTGAGTGTAAGAACACTTGGTGATTCAGGGAAAAGAACATGAACATACACACCCCTCTTAATTTTAAGTGACTGCTTATGCGCTGTATTATCTGTGTCATATGGGTCTCAAAGGTGCTTTTCTCCTCTGCTGAGATCAGAAATACACTTGGCAAGGTATTCCCCTTACCTGAGGCTTCCTCCTGTTCTCTGAAAACAGATCCTTGTCCCTGCTTTATATCTGACTGAGGCAGGCACAAGTTTAAATGAAAGGCTCTGTTCCTGCATGCCTAGATCGTCTCTTCTATGGCAGGATCTCATGGAGGGCAAAGGAACCAAAATAGCAACATGAGGTGGCAGGCAATGTAGGGACATCCTCCTTGTTCCTCAACTACTAAGAACAGCACCTGCATAAGGAGCTGATGCGTTCCCAAAACAATCGTATCAAACAAATATTTAAAACTGCATTTGTGCCAAGTGGCAGGAAAAACAAAGAATCCAGAGTGTGGAAAGCTCCAGTGCAGACACAGGTTCAAAGTCTGAGTACTACTCTTTCATGATTTTTGCTGGATACCCAATGAGTAAGCAGCACTGTTGTCCAGATTTAGAAAGTAGAACTGGTCTGCTATAATGGGCATGCCTGGGAGTGGAGGGTGTGAAGAATACATTGGAAAGAACAACTAAGTCTTACTGCATTTTGAGGTTATAGACTTTTGCCAACAGTAAACAGCTTTGATTGAGTTTACTTGTCCGGTAGCCAAAGCTGTAATTTTCCTGCACACATAGCTAGATAGCTACTGATGGAGCCAATTGTGTTTATATTGAAGTAACATCTGGGGTTACTTTAAATGAGTGACTTGAAATATCTTTTGTTATGTTATGCACACAACTAGCTACAGTACAAGAGAAAAGCTGGGCAAGAAACTTTCTGACTCCAGCACGATATTCAAGCTACTTGCCCTCTGCATCTTCCTATGTACATCAGAAACAGTGTTATCATCATCAAAATGTTTATGGTTTTGCTAGAACAACAGCCTACACAGTGCCCTTTTACCCATGCTACCTTGGAGATAAAACAAAAAGAATGCTACCTATCCTGGGTTTCTTCAGACAGATGGCAAGTAGCAGTTGTCAGGGACTCTGCCCAAAATGCAAATAGGAACTAATTAGCAAGCTGAGCTGACAGGTCAACAATGCAGAGTACCTGTTCGCCAAAGAATGTTGCATAAAGTGATAATGAAGACATTATTGATGCATCATGCTTCCGCCCTG